TGTGGGAAGTTAGTTAAGAAATTAGGTGAGGAAAGCAGAGTGTGTGGGAAGTGTGAGGAGAAATTTGTTTAATGAAGCTTTTTTTTTGTGATGAAATAATTTTTGATGAAATGAACTTTCAACAAAACAAACTTTTGACAAAATGGGTGTCAACAAAATGACTGTTGACAAAATGATTGTCAATGAAATGAATCAGACCCCTTTTTCTCACAGGATCAGATAGCCAACTTGGTAAACTTCATGAATTGTATCTCATGTCAATCATAATTAATGATGCAATGTCACTAATAATTTGGATCACCCACTTATTATAATAATTTATTTGAAATATATTTTTTTTAAAACATGAATTTATTAACAAAAAATTGATTTATTTTCTGATTACACATATATAAAATTTTAATATAAATTCTTATTCAGTTTGTTCATTTTATTTGGTTTGTTTGGTTTGTTCAGTTTATTCAATTCAAATTATTCATTTATAAAATGTAAAATATTAATTCATGACTTGATGCAACAAATTGTTATTGTTAAAGGATTTTAACAAAGATAACTATTTTTACAGGTTTAAATTAATGATAATAAATAAATATTTCTGCTTCTACTTATTAGCAAGGCTCTGAAATGTTAATTAATTAGCCAGATGTTTTTTTCACTTAGTCAAGAGTGACTTATTTTTGTAATGATTTTCTCTTATTTTATATTTGTCTCTATTTTTTTATTATTTTTTATTTCTTTTCTTTTTTTTTCAGTGAGGTAATAATATTTAATGAATTTTATTTAGTAGTTTTGGAAAACATACCTGACTTGGGTAGGGGAGCAACCCACAAGAATCGTGATCAGGATATAGTGTGAAGTTTAGTATTGCTTAGTATAAGGAATTGTTTAATGATAATTTTGAAAGTAAAGCATAAATATACAGATTTAGTATAAATAAATTGGAAGAAATTGTATAAATATTGTTGGCATTGTAAACAAATAAAATATTGAGGTCCGAATAATTTTACAATATCAAATATCAATTCGTGTAACCATTTTTAATTTTCAAATAGTGCGTCATTAATTTGACATGATCAACTATCAGGGGAAATTTGTAAAAAATAAATTAGCAGTAATGACACATACAAAATTGAATAATTTGGAGTTAAGACCAACTGGTATTGATGCAAATTATTTGGGGTCTACTTCATTCCCAAATATAGAAACTGTAGAATCAGAATTACATGATGAAACACTTCCATTAGAGTTGTCAGATTTTGCAAGAATTAAATAACAGAAGGTACTCTTAAAATGTTTGACTATCAAGGATCTGGGGGATATCTGACCTGGCTTGTTCTATCAATTGGGTGACATTATCAAAATTTGAAAATTATTTTTTTTTTATAATGAAGAAATATTTAATAGTTTAAAATCAATTGATTTGATTTTAACTTTTGAAAGAAAAAGTTGAAATTAATTTTACACACCAATCAATTATCTCATTTAATAAAAAAATGGCAACATCAAACATACCATCTTTCTTTCACCATTGGAAAGCTATTTACTGTTGATGGCACTTGAATAATTCGGTAAACTGATTCATTATGACATATAAAGTATGGAGATTGTTACAAGTTATTATGTATATATATTTGATTTGTAAATTATGGGTATATCAAATATGAAGAGTGTACTGATGTTGGCATCACTTAAAAAAAGGAGATCATTTTTTTACATGGTTGTCTTGAATCGATCATCATTGACTTGAAATAGGGTTATTTAAATTGATGAAAAAGTATATTTAAATGATGAAAAAGAAAATTATAATGAAAATCATGCAAGTTTTGTATATGATTTACTGCAAGTTTTATAACAGTAAAATAGTTTTTTTAAAAAATAAAAAAAATAAATATAAACAATTAATTTATAATCTATTTATTTTGAAATAATTATCATTAATATAAAAACTTTTTTCATCCTTTTCACTCTAATTAATTGTATGTCATGTATCTAATTGAAAGAAAAAATTAATAATTTGTAAATTAACTTTAAAAAAATAAGTAAATCATTAAAAAAAAGGTACCTTGGTGTAGAAGAGAATTTTGCATAAGACTATAAATGTAAAATAGAATATTAGAAAAATGGTAATTTTGAAATTATATAACAAAAAATTTCATTCATTCATTCATCCATACACACCTTAATAACTTTATTAACAGATTCTAAGAAATCCTTTTCTGATGCAACCTGTATATAAATATATTTATGTGTGTGTGTGTGTGTGTATATATGTGTATGTATTATTATTTAATAATAACAAACAAGCATAATTGAATAAATAAAAAATAAAACATTATAATAAACTTAACCTTTCTCCTGGAACGAATAGCAAACATTCCTGCTTCTGTACATACACTTCTTAATTCAGCACCTATTTATAAGATATATATATATATAAGTTAAATAATGTATTCAATTTTTGTTTATTAATCAATCAGTTCAATATACTTACCAGTACTGTTTGGACAAAGTCTAGCTATAAGCTCATAACGAATATCACGTTCTACAGACATACTGCATTAACATGTATAAAATAAAAATAAAAATATTATTGTTATATATAAAAAAATTCAAAGATTAAAAATTATTTTTTTGAAAAAAATACCTTTTTGCATGAATCTTTAAAATATGTGTACGACCCTATAAGATAATAATTTTTAAGAATAAAATATTTTATAAAAATCTAATAATAAAATAAAACAATGACTATCATAATAAATTTTATAGATACCTCCAAATCTGGTAATGAGAATTCAACTTTACGATCTAGACGACCTGGACGTAAAAGTGCAGGATCCAATGTATCAGGTCTATTATATATGAATGAATTAATAGGTAAATCAAATAGTGAGCATAATATTTATCAATTATATTTCAATAATTATTTATTTGCTTACCTATTTGTAGCCATCAAAATCTTTATATTTCCACGTGGATCAAAGCCATCCAATTGGTTTATTAATTCCAACATGGTCCTTTGTACTTCATTGTCACCTCCAGCTCCATCATCATAACGCGCACCTATTAATAAATCAGCAAAGATTTAATTAACAAAACGAAAAGACTTTATTCATGTTTTATTTTATACAACAGATAAAAAAATTCATCAAACCTCCAATAGCGTCGATTTCATCAAAAAATATAATACAAGCCTTTTTAGTTCTTGCCATTTCAAACAGTTCACGAACCATTCTTGCACCTTCTCCAACATATCTATTTGAAAAAAATATTAGTTTATTAATATTTGTGAAAATAAAATACAAATTAAAGACTAAAGATGACAATTACTTTTGTACAAGTTCAGAACCAATAACTCTGATAAATGTTGCATCAGTTCTATTTGCCACAGCGCGTGCACATAAAGTTTTACCAGTACCAGGAGGACCATATAACAACACACCTTTAGGAGGATCAATACCTAAATTTACAAATCGCTCTGGCTAAAAAAATTTTATAAAATCAAATATACAAGTATATTTAAAATTAAGTAAACAAAATTTTTCATATGTATAATTATTATATATATGTTGTTAAAGTGACATTTTTTACCTGTAGTAATGGTAATTCTACTACTTCTCTAAGCTTTTCAATCTGTTCTTTACAGCCACCAACATCACTATATGTAACATCAGGCTTTTCTTCGACTTGCATCATGGTTACTGAAGGATCAATTTTTGGTGGTAATGGTATTTGTATCTGATACTTATTACGATCAACACTATATATATATATATATATATATATATATATATATACACGCATACATGTATTTTAAAAAAAACGTTATATAATTTAAGCCATAATTTCCTATTTTTTTTTTTTAGAAAAAAAAATATAAATTTTACCCAACACGCATTCCTTCTTCAATATCGGTTGGAGAAACGCGCTCACCTAATGCCACCACAAATTTTGCAATTTGTTTTACATTTATAATATATTTTGCTTCTTCACCTTCACCAGCTTCAATTATTTTTGTGCATCTTGCAACCTATAAAATTAATAGTTAACTAATTAAATTTCTAGCACTAATCATAATCAATAATGAATGATGATTATAAAATAAAATAATACTTGTAATGGTTGCTCTTCTTGCATTCTTTGTTTATCAGCAGGAATATCCCAAAGATTTGGTGGTGCCAAACCAGTATCAGATTCCTTAACGCCTAAATAATTCAATCAACAATATCATTAATATTATCACCATAATGGTCATCAATTCAATGATTGGTTTATCATTTTATTGGTAACTTCCAATTTAAAATTTACCAATTTTTTCATTTATTCGTTTTTGTACATCTTTTATATCAGAATCTATCTTTTTCAACTCTTTTGCATACGGTCCTTGCCCCTTATAAAATAAATTGATAATGTGCATAAGAATTCTAGATTTTAGGAAAAAATTGACAAATTATGGTAAAATAATAATAACTTACATAGGTCTTTAGAAGTGCAATATCACCTTCATCAAGTGCTTCAATAATAATAAAAAAATGATGGAAATCATGATGGAATAAAATAAATCAATTTCATTTTAATTGAAAAAATCATTACCAACAATTTTTTCCTCTTCTTTATCTTCGACTTGTTTATCATCTAATAAAATTTTCACATTAATATAATAATATAGATTAATTTATTATTATAGAATTACCTACACTTTTCCCAAGATTCTTTTGGAGACATGTTTGAAATTATAATGACGTAATGATTTTTTTTGATTATGTATTTATTTATATGAATACTCCATACTTCCAAAATTAAACAACAATCATGTGACTTGAAACGAGTTCGTGTATCATCACATTACCAGTCAAACGATATGTCAATTGGGTGTATGCGGATTTTTTTTGCCGATCAATAGATGTAAAAATTTTAATATAAAAAATAAACTCTATCTCCTCCTTATTTATAAAATAGACCCCCATTTAAAATTAGTATATAGGTACTAAATAACGAATCCTTCAACATAATGGCTTTATTTTTTAATTTTTTGTTTATAAAAAAAAGTTATATGCAAAAAAAAGTTTTAAACAAAAA